ACATTTATTTATCTCTTCTTCTAAATGTAGTTACGAAAAAAAATAAACAAACGGAACATCCCATTATTCTTCATTTAAGTTTTGGGAACAATTGAAATTCATCTTCATATCATTGGGTTTTCTTTTGATGATTATTTATTTATTTTACTCGTATTTTCACTCTTTTAATGAAGCCCCCATCCCCGCCTTGTGAAAGTTTATATTAGACATTGAGTAATTCTGGATTTTTCCCTTTCTCTCTCTCTCTCTTTGTGTGTATTTGTCCATTTTCATTTCTGTTTGTATTTGTTTATGGTCATCTTTTGATATTTCAATCCTTCTATTTTGGTTTTCATCACACATATATTTCAATTTAATTTATGTGATTAAACTTTGATAAAGAGAATCCACTAAGGGGAAAAAAACACAATTATTTTCCATTTGTAAGAGTTTATATCTTCTCATTGTTGATATTAAGGATTGTAACTGACCAATCTCTTTTACCATGTTTACTAAAAAAATTGAGATTATCATTGGATAACACTTTTGAGGCATTCCACTCATGTATTTAACTGTAATTCTAAACATTAACAATTGAAAAATAGAATCCTTTATCAATAAAATCCATACCCGTTTTACAAGCTAATGCCTATCTGAATTCATTAGCTCAGTAGATAGATTGACTTCTGCGGCGAAGTGTACTGGGTTTGAGTCTCAATAGGATTACCAATACTGGAATATGGTGGGTACTTTCAGCTGAGGACGAGCCATTAATAGGACGAAACATGTTTTTTTAGATTCCACCGCTAGTTCTTATTCAAATTTACGGAAGAACATTGAATTTCTGTTTTCCATTTCTAATTTTTACCTGATCTTTGACTTCTTTATTGATGTCAATTATATTTCGGAAGAAATTGATCTTCTATACATTAACAATAATAAAAACTAATCAATTTAGTCTTCAACAGATCTGTTCTACTATGATCTAAATTAAACAACCATTGAAAACTTAGAACCAAAATCAGTAGACAGCTATTTCGTCCCAATATAGAACGCCTCATCTTACATTCACAACCCCATCATCAGATCTTTCCTGATTTCACAATGTTTTCTTCAAATCCGAGCCTTGTTTCTTCTTAAAAGTCTATTTCCTATACTATGGTTCATGAACATGTTCAAGATCGTGTGAATATCAAACTAGTCAATCAGTTATTCTTCAAAAAAAGTTGAATAGTTATTTTCTCCATCTATATATACTGTATCAGATAGGATGATATGAGAAAGTGATATAAAACATCATGTTTCATAACTTATACAATTCTATCTATTTTTAATACAACATACTACTTATATTATTATCATTACCATATCTCTACCTGTTTCTTTTCTTTTTTTCTGTGTCTAATTAGGGAAAATATTTCATTAACATTTCAAGACATTTCAATATGTGTGTTGTGTTATTCTTCTCTTTTTTCTTTATTATTTGCATAGTTTATTGACTTCGTGATATTTAATACTACGTTTTCTTTCAGTAGTGGATCTATGTTTACATTTTGCATTGATCTTTAAACACACATGACATTGATCACTACCCAGTGATCAATCAATTGTGAATATATCTCAGTCTTACAGGAGGTCAGTCGCGGTTCGAATAGTTTAGTGATAATATCTTTGACTGTGAAGCTGAGTGAAACGGGATGGAATCAGTCAGGGAGCACCAGTTCCCTCAAGATTACAGGTACACCTTGCTAACAAGTGCCAAACAGCACGAAACTCGGATCCAAGGTTTTCTGTTGACTATCTTCAACCATCATATCTTTGAGCTGTATTTGAAATGTTCATATTTGTAAGAATTAGTCTTCGATTAGTATTAATGTATGTACTTTGTTTAAAAATGGACTATTGTAACCAAATGGTTAAGAATACATCTAAGAATCATTCACAATAGCACAAATGGTTTCACTCTTTTTCTTCTCTTAGATCTTGAGTTTTGAAATTGTTTTGTACTTTTCTATTTGACGAATTGATTCTTTCCTCTTGTGTCTTAAATATTTGTACTACCACCAATATTGATACTAGTTATAATATCCTGGAATTGGTCTTGATAATTTTATCCGTTAAGCTATTTTGTTGTATTGTAGTGAATGAAAACTTGATGGAGAGATCCAATTAATTGTTAAATATAAAACTGCAGAATATCTTCATAAAATATGAAAACCATACATTGAATACCTTCATTTGTACACCTTCCTTCAATGGTCTTTTACATCCTTCATGATCCTTCCAATTCCCAATTCCTTTATGTTTCCTTTTCTGTTTTCTTTAGTTCAATCTTCTCAACCTTCTTTTGACAGACATTCCACTTTTGATTGGTGTTACACACTACTTATGTCTGTTGACAGAAATAGCATATACCATAGTATGTCGATTTGAACTGATACACATATGTATCCATGATTTGTGTTGCTTACATTTCACTGATTTATTCACAAACTAGATCAGACTAAACGAAATCTACAAATAGTAGTAATTAAGAAAATTCTTTTAAGTTCTATACATTACTTAATTGACTGGTTTATAAATGAAATAATTAAGATAGTTATTCAATTACCAAAGTATATTTCGTTTTGATGTTGTACTCAATGCAACAAGTTAAAATTCAATGTGGGTGAAGGAGGACACATTTGTACTGGTAACATAGAGTTCTGTTCTATGTTAGCCTAGACCTAATTGAATATCACCATATATCCTAAGGATGAAAATGATGCTTGTTACATGTTCTACTCTATAATAAGGTTAACATCATATGAAAGGGAGAAAAAAGAATCTATTGTGTTCTCCTTAACATTGTAATATTAATATTCTCTTAACTTTAATTAAAATGAAAGAATAACGTATACCAACATAATCATTACTACAATGCGTAGTATCCTTTTCTAATTAAGTGCTCTATGTAGGTTAGGAGAAAGCTATAAAAAAAACCCAAAATATGATACTAGTCGATGAAACGAACGACAATCGGTATGAGCCTTGTATGTGGTTGCTTTCTGAGCAATAATAGCTATCAGTGGTTGAAGATTTTGAGCGAGATAGCTCAAAATTAGCCGTATTCACCTGTTTTCTTACTCTAGATCTTCGATTCTACTATTCTTTCATACATACCTTTTTATCCTGTATTCTCGAAATTCAGTCTTTTTTATTAGCATCATAATCAGAGAGGTGTTTTGTGGATATTATACTAATTTAACAGTTGAACTCATAAGTCAATTGAAGCTAGACCACCATGGAAAACTTAGAAGCCGTGACCAGTGGAGTTCAACTGCGTCTGTTTTGAGTTTGTAACTCACTGAAGACAATCGCGCAACCTTGTGAAGTGGTTGAAGTCAGACATTAACACCGTTGGATTCCGGCCCAATGGTCTAGTGGTTAAGCGAGACTGATAGGCCCTGGGTTCAAACCTCGCATGGCGGGATCGTGGATGAGCACTGCCATAGAGTAGTTCCACAGTAGGAAGAAACGGCCATCCAGTGGTTCCAGGTTTTCTATGGTGGTCTAGCATCAATTAACTCATGAATTCAACCAGTGAATTTTTTATTAGCGTTGTTTATGTCAACTCGTTATGTTAATGAAGTATCAAAACGTCGAGAAACGCGCAGTTGTTGCAAGTTTTACATTGATTATTGCTGGTTGACTTTAGCATGCTTCAATGAATTATTAAAAGTATGGTTAATAGGTGATAACAATAAAAATGAACATATTCTATATGGTTGTAGAAGATGACACAAAACATGACATTTTCACTTTTGAATAATTTAATGTTATTCCTTTAAGCAGGACTGAGATCATAAGATCAATATGAATCTCGTAGAGCATAAAGGAAATTATTTTCTTATTTGTTAGGAAAAAACGGGATTTTGACACTAGTAAAATAAGAAGTACCTTAAAGTACAGGGACTTGGAATTTTATCTAATTGGTAATAAAAAATGATTATCATACTTCGAAATACTGAGTTCTGTGAAAACCGTACAATATTTCTTTCAATCACATAATTTAGGTGGTTGGAAGTAGCCAATAGGAAACTTTGTCTCGACCAGGTATCATGCTAGCTGGCAGTAGTCAGTTGGAGATGTCTATAAACTTGAGGTAACTTATACTATTTGGAGAATTGAACTACTATAATTTGGTTTCACAATCTGAGACGTTGCCACTGATGTATTCGGACCGTGATTAACTCCTAATAGGGGTAAAGTCTTTACTGTTGCGATGTGATCAATATTATGTCTGTCTAGTTATTTAGTAAATGCATCACAACTTGATCGATAGAATCCAATCAGCGTTTTTTAAGGACTAGATATGTGCTCATTAGTGACTAGGTTCGTGAAGTAATTCTCGGAGTCCTAATGAGAAGCCGTGACCAATGGAGTTGAACCGTGTTGGGTATGAGACAGTTATCCACCGGAGGCAGTGAAATATGGTCGCTCAATATCATCGATTGGTTGAAGTTGGACATTAACACCGTCGGACACCAGGTCAATGGTCTAGATATTAAGCGTTTGCACATGAGACTGAAGGTCCTGGGTTCTAGTGCTACGTACGAGGTCCTGAATGCGCACTGCTGAGGAATCCCGTACTAGAAGAAACCGTTTCCTATTGCCTTCAGGTTTTTAATGTTTGTCTAACTTAGATTGGTTCATAATCTCAACGATACATCAGCTGTAAACATCGTAATTGTGTGTGTGTGTGTTTAAAGCACGAGATAGTTAATAATTCTAATGGTTTGTTTGCAAATACAATACTCACTCCATGCTTTGTTCTATTCACTTGATTCAATTTATTAGCTCTCGTGCAATAAACACGAAAATTTATTGTAGTCTACCTGAAAAGTATGAAACCGGAAACAAACGCTTATATACCTAACACAGAGTTCTATAAATGTGACAAATATTGGGAATATACATTTATTTAATGTTTCAAATCATCATTTATCACATTTGTTATTATTAATAATCCAATTTTGTAGGGAATGGTACAGTTGAATTTGACGAGTTCTTAAGAATGATGCGAAGGTATTCTCAAAATCAACGACCGAAATCTTCTGATGATGAACTTCGTGAAGCTTTTAATGTAAGTACTTGTTTACTATGATGTAATATCTCTTTTTTATGTATTTCGGTGGATTACACCGAACTGATTTATACATTCTTAGTTTTTAAATCACAAACTGATCTTAGTTAGATCACCAACGAAATTCTAGAAGCACTAAATGACTGTTTCTTCCTAGCATGGGATTCATCAGTGCGTATCCAGGAATTGAACTCAGAACCTTCGGTCTCGCATATGAACCCCTAGATTGCTGAAATGGCACTCAGAGGATGTTAATACCTAACTTTAGCCAATTCAAGATATTACATGACCATCTTCCATTACCTGAAGTGAATAACTGTTTCACACGGTATGGGTGAAATCGTGGATACGGGGTCGTAGACGCTCACTATTGAATAGCATTCAAGAACGGAACGACCATTCAATACCGTCAGGTTTTCACTAGTGGTCTATTTAAGATCAGTTTATGATTTTAAACCTGTGGAAATTCTATAATCTGCACAAAATCCTATGCTGAATATTTTTTACCACAAATACAAGGTCTAACATGTATTCATAAGAAAAATATAAACTAAGAATTTATTCCATTTTTTATGTAGACTTAGTAATAATGTACTATTCGATAAATAAAGACTGAAAGTGAGATGTAATTTCTCAAAGACGCATGTATAATCTTGAATGTATACTATAAATTCAATTCATATACTTTGCTTTATAAATAAACAATTTAATGTTAAGTATCATTATCTTTCATTTACATGTTGGATATAATGTCCTACCGATTCTTCATTTTCACCAAATACTCATTCTGTAGTGAACAAGAACACCAGTGGAGACAATCGGATGTAATTGACACGAAATTACAGAGCATCTGAATAAAATCTGAGAACCATATAGTAAATAGTTAATTTGTAAAATATCAATCCATCGTCTCAGAATTCATTGTTCATATGTTTTCATACTAATCGCTTTCCGTTTCCGTTCTTTCGTTCTTGGTCTTCTACTGAAATACATTCTATGACTGAGTACTGTTACATACTACTTATATGGATATAAGTAACCCACACCATACCTTTACATTATTTAATACATTATAAATTTTTAGGTACACCCTTTTGAATTTATAATTGGGATATATAATTACTAAAATACTTCTGTTATGTCCCGACAAGAATAATGAATGGTAACTTTTGGGATCTATTGATGGACCGATAGTAAACGTAAATTTCTATTGTATAATTGTTAAGTAACTACACTATTCATATTCATGTCTCTCTTATTATAAGCTTTATTTTAACCTATGAACCATTATTATACGTTATACCATTCTTGAATTACACCCTGTCTATTAGTCACTGCCTCACATATTCACAGCCACTTTTGGCCAGATCTTGTAAAAATGTTGTTTGCTATTTTATGGTTCGTTGTGGTCTGTTTGATTGGTATATAAACTCAGTGTGTTTAAATATAAGGATTCAGATTGCAGAGGCTGAGACTGGTGTTCTGGAATTAACTGGCTGGGCTAGGCGGAAAGCAGGATCAATCAGGACTCTAGGCTGCTCACACGTGTTTTACGCATCCTTGGTCCGATCGATAATTCACTGCCCTCTAATCGGCGGTCACAAGTGATAACAACTTCCCTACTTCCAATCGATTTTCTTTATCTTAATATCTAATTTAGAATTTTCCAGAATCACCCTTCAAATATAAGTAGATCCTTTTTTTCTCTGTTTTTTTTTGCAAAGCGATTAATTTAATTGTTTATACCCTTTATCTTTAATTATCAATGAACGTGAATGGATATCCTAATGAAGACAATAGAAAAAAAGAAGCTGAAATTTAAAGCAATGAATGTAGTTCATCAACTTGTACTGTAGTTCATTCAACTTATATTCTGAATAGTCTATAGTGTAGATATTTTTTCAGTAGTCACCTGGATACATGATCAAGTTTGATGCAAGAATAGGTTGGAAGAAAGCTAAGGAGTTACCGAACCAATATGTATATAGTATTCATTCATGAAGTTTTAGACTATTGAACTGAACCGCGTTTATGGGTACAGATTATCTAGTTGAGGTATAGATGATTATTGTAACTTGAGGTCGAAGACAACATTTTGTGACCTTGTTCATTATCATTCACAATGGTACATGTTCACTTAACTTTCGCTTCCCCTTAGATCTACAATATCGTAATTCTCTTTTGCATTTTCTTTTTGAATTCCATGAATTCATTCTTTATTAATCATATCGTCTGTGACTAATCTTTTCTGCTCCTATTGATGCATACTACTACTTATACTCCTCTGCAGTTTGTCTTTGTAATTTCATCTGTCTGTGCTAATATTTAAGGTATGGTAATTTGAACTGATACATACATGTACCAGGTTCTACGTTGTATAAGACTGACTGAGTAATAGTTTTATTATTATTAGATTGGGTTGAACTGGAAAAAACATAATTATGGTATGTATTTTGTCTTTGATATATTGATTTAGTACTCGTTTATCTGTTCTGTGATTTCTCAAGCATATGATTGTTTTTTTACAAACAATTTTATTTTAGTATCAGAAGGGGTTTTGTGGATATTATAGTAATTTTAATAGTTGAGATCATGAGTTAATTGAAGCTAGACCACCGTGGAGAACCTGGAAGCACTGAATGGCTTCAAGAGGTATTTCCTGGAGTTCTAGTCAGAAGCTGCGATCAGTGAAGTTCAACTGGATCTGTTGTGAGATAGTAACTCACTGAAGACAATGGTGGATGTGCAGCTTAATTTCGTGAATTGGTTGAAGTTAGACATTAACACCGTTGGATGCCAGTCCAGTGGTCTGGTGGTTAAGCGTTCACACGCAAGATCGATAGGTTCTGGGTTCGAATCTCGCAAGGCGGTATCATGGATGCACCCTGCTGAGTCACATACTAAGACGAACCGGCCATCCAGTGGTCTAGCTTCAATTGACTCATGATCTCAACTATTAAACTTTTATTTTAATAAACCAATAACTTAGAGTACATGATTACAAGGCAAAATATCACCAATTACTGATTTGTTAGAAAAATTATGTAATGCAGTGTATATATAATTAATAACAGTGGTTTGAACTATCACGTTGTTGATATTCATAAGTAAATTTTGATAAATCTTTGTTGACATATGTGTATCTTGTGACCATTCTGTCACAATTTTTGTAGAATAGAAGACTTTTGTTTAACAGTGGAATCCAGGACATGCGTTTTGTCCAATTTAAAACTTATTAGTTGGATATAAATATATCTTAGTTTTGATTTTCTTACAGGGACCCGAAGTCAATACTTTTCTCTTCTCAAATACCAAGATATTGTCCATTGGACTACTTAGTCCAAATGGTTCTTAACATGTCCGAAAAGTACTATATTTATATTACTATTAGATAGAGGTTGGATTGAAGTGAAATGTGCAGGGTTTCAGTTCTGACGTGAATATCAACACTAAGATGTGTAAGTTACATTCAGTTAAATGAGTCCTAAATAGTATAAAACTCACATCCTCGATTCCACTGCCAGCCAAAAACACTCTGTTCTGCTTAAAACTATTATTATTGTCTTTATGACCACTTTGCTTTTTATCTTGTTTAATTTCTTTCCTTAATGTTCCGACGGGAAGTACCATACCTTTGGCCGGTCGTTGTGCAGTGATGCTTAAACTTACATTCGAATTTGTGAATATTATATATATATGAGGTTCCCTCCCTAAAATAAAGGATGATCAGCGTTAGACTCTATCTTTAGCCATATGTGATGGCATCATAGGGCACCATCTCTTGAACTCCAACCAGGGAATTGTAATGAATAGACAAAGTTCAGCTGTACACAAGTTCCTGTCACATCGATTAATCCAAGGTGTAACAGCCGCTACTATGACTTTAGTAAACCACAATGAAACTACTGAAGTCACGGTTTGTAAATGATGACATTGACTGAATTATCTTTACTTTTCCCGAGCATGCATTGCGGAGCCTCAGCATCACTGACATAATGTTGACACAATATGAGCAATAATTTGGAGACAATAATAATCAAACACGAATTTCCCGAACTGCTGTTACCGACCCGTTGTTAACCCAACCTATTAAACACAGACTAACATCACAACAACACTAAAAGTGGCCAAACCTAACCTTCTCTATTGATTTGATCTGCCATCCCACCAACAGCACTTGCTTGACAACCCAGATACAGGGACTTTTGAACTGTTTCCAATATATATAACTTATTTGGTTCCATTCTTTTTAATTACGATAGATCCCTCATTGATTAGCACTTTTTCTCTATAGTTCATCTTTTTTCTATCCGGAAAGTAATAATAATAATGCTTCACAAGCACTTGTGTGTGTATGTGAATGTAATGGTACACATTACATATCATTTTAAAATCATTTCACTCCATTGTTTTATTTGCGCTTAAGATTCTGTTCAGCTGAATTAATTTTACTTCATACTGAATTGTACTACACAATGATTAATACAAATGATCGACGTGAGCAATAAAGAGAGGAGAGGGATAATGAAAAAGCACAAACAATAAAATTGCGCATCCCGTACCATCTCACCCCACAGTATTTGACTGTGACAATCAGCATTTTATTATCTTTTTATGATCAGAATAGGGATAAACTAGATTTAGGGAGTGGGTAGAGGAATGGGGTTATTTATTCCATTCATTGAAAAAGCATAGACCTGTATGCATGTGTAGATGCGTTTACAACGATATACATGAATAACTGATATTACTTTGGCTAATGTAATAAGACGAAGATTATCAGAACTATGATAGCGCAAAACGTTGCGAACAGTCTAATCATACATATACGTGTTAGAAACATTTCTATATATGAAAAAACCAAAAGGTGAACTAGACACAGTTTAATCTCACCTTAAACCTATCCTGTTAATATTATAAGGACTTTCGTCTAAATTTGATCGAATAGTTTCACAATATTTGGGCGCCGAGTTGATGTGAGGAAGAATGTACTTATAAAATCTCAGAGAATGAATTTGAAGTAAATCCAACTTTTCACCTGGTAATCTGATCCATACTTGATTAAATTTCCTTGAAAAAGCTTGGACTAAATTACCAGGCGAAACATTGGATTTACTTCAAATTCATTTGCTAAGATGTTACAAATACATTCTTCCTGGTAATATTAGTTTATTATTCAGCGTGATGAGTTTTCACATTGTTTTTAAAAAGAAATACTATTCTCTCTATTATCTTTGTTTGCTTTTACCCTCCATTTCTAGTCTAGTTGACCTTTTATTTTCGCCTATATCAATGTTCATAACAAGGTGTATGTGTTTAGACGGTGGTTTGAGGTAGTCGACAGGAAACCCTGGACCTGAGTTTCGTGCTACTTGGCACTCGTCAGCAAGATATACCTGTAATCTTGAGGGAACTAGTGCTCGCCGACGGATTGAACCTCATGTCACCCAGCTTCACTAGAGTGCTAAGTAGCACGAACCCCGGGTCCAGGGTTCCCTGTTGACTACCTCCAACCACCATCTTATCTCAATATAGTGCACGCAGTGCCGAGTCACCTAAACTGGTGGTCACATTGCAACTTTATCGACAGGATTCGATCTTCACTAAAAAAGGACTTGACACACATGACATTGATCACCATCCAGTGATCAGTCAATTGTGAAGGTGTATGTGTGATCAGATTGTTCGAAATGCTTATTACACCAATATATCATCATGTCGTTCTGATAATCTTCGTCTTCTTAATATGTAACTAATTCGTAGGTAATGATGATGAACTCTTCAGCTTTTCATACTTCAATACAATACAAATTGTTCGCTTCTCTTTATAAATTATTAAATAACTACAGAATCCCATGTTTTATATTGCAGACTAACTTCAATTAAACAATCACTGAAAAGTAGGAAGTATTGGACAGCGGTTTCATCCTAGCATGAGGCTTCTCAATGGCAGTCCTCATTCACGACAGCGACATAGAGGATCAAAACCGGGACTCTGAAGTCTCATAATGAGTTCTTGACTCTAAGACCACTTAGCTGGCAAACAATGGTTTATATTTATAACGTCAATTGATTCACATTATTAAGCAACTGTCTCTCAGTGTCATTGGTGGGCATCTGTCTCACATTCTGTATAGTTTAACTCCTTTGGTCATAACTCCTCTTCTACTAGAATCAAATCTTTATCCAGTGCTTTCTGGTCTTCTTTAAGTTGTTTAACTAAGATCATTCCATAATGTAAACTATGAAATTCAATGATCTCAATAAACCTCTAATGTACTTCTCATTTCTTACTTTCAGTGATTCTCCCTTTGTAATTTGTGCCCAGGAATCGCCATAACAACCACATAAACTAATAAAATAAAGCTTATGAACAGTTTATCCCTTTATATATATTCAACCACACAGTGTACTCAAACAGATAGAACGAAAGTTAAACCAGTATAATAAATGAATGAATAAATCAATTAATAAAAATGACAAATCTGTCAATACTGGTTTATATTTAGCATTTGTTCTCAGATGTTTGTTACCATTTTTACCGTACTTCTGTGCACTTTCCTTTTTATTTATAAAAATTACATTATATCTATGGGACAATATTCTTGTTCTCTTCTTATACTGAAATATGTTCATTACGGTCAACTGAACAGGGAATATGTTAAACATTAGATATGTTGATTAACTTTCTTCTCTGAAGATTAAGTAATCGTTTTTTTAAAGCAGAAATGGATGGTGGTTAACAGTGGAATCTAGAACGGACGTTTCGTCCTATTTGGGACTCATCTTCTAGATGAACCTGTACTACAGTGTTGGTGTTTGTTTCTGGGACTCGAACCCATCACCGTTCGCTTGAACCGCCATTATGCTATTCATTTCTTCATTCCACAAGCTAGTGGCTATCTGTACTCACTAGATAAGTTATATTTACTAATGTGTTAGAGAGTTGGAAGAAAGTTAGGAACGAATGATCCAAAACGTGACATTAGTCCAAGGATTTACTGACTGTTGGTCTGAGTTATTTGTTGGCAAATGCAAGTCATGTGGTTTGGGTCCTCAAAATTATTGTGACAATTAGTAGAAGAGGCTAAGCGATATGATACAAAGTTTATCACTATAGTACAGATGTATCTCTTCTTTGTCTCTCATTAGATTCTGAATTCTGAAATTTTCTACTATTGTTTTACGTCTTCTACTAGAGAATTTTTCTTCATACTTTCATTTCACTATGTCAATATATGACAGTTTAAATGGTTGTATATATGTGGCAGGTTCAATATTGGCATATAACTGATTGGTTGTGAATGAAATAGTTGTTCACTGTTCCTAAACTTTCAATTCTGTCCTAATTCAAATTAATCTATGATGAAAATACCCATTCAGCTAAATGTAAAAAACTAGTTATATATCCAAATTTTTTTAAAATTAACTGTTAATTATTATTATTATTATTATCGGAACGGGTTTTTGTAGAGATTGTAGTCATTTCAATAGTTGAGATCATGAGTCAGTTGAAGCTAGACTACCATAGAAAACCTTGAAGCACTGGAAGGCCGTTTCGTCCTATTGTGCAACTCCTCAGCAGTGCGGATTCGCGACCCCGCCTCGCGGTATTCGGACCCAGAACCTATCAGTCTCGCGCATGAGCGCTTAACCATTAGACTACTGAGCTGGCCGACATCCAATAGTGTTAATGTCTAACTTCACCTAATTATTAACTTATTATTATTATTGTCAGTATATTCATTAATTCTTCTCTTAGGTATTTGATCAGAATGGTGATTCAGTCATTGATTTTAGTGAAATTAAACAAACAATGCACTTTTTGGGTGAAGCAGTCACTGATGATGAAGTACGTCAAATGATTAAAGAAGCTGACTTAGATAAAAATGGATCAATTGATTTTAGAGGTAAATTAGTAAATTTGACTCATTTTTTTCTCTCAAGAGTTTGTTTTTCTTGTTAATAATAATATGTGAGGATAGTTCACGGGTGAAGTTGAGGAAGCTCTAAGAAGTTCAGAAAGAGCTGAAAATATTTTGGTGGAGTTTTGTTCTCTGAGCTGGGTGGTTCGGTCTTGGAGCTTTCATTGTTCTCCTGAACGACATCATCAGCACAAACTTCAGGTAGAAGTGAAGTGTCCGAATTTCTCCATATGTGTTTCACAGCTTGTTCTGTGCACCTCGATGTTGATTGGTTCTTATTGACCTTAAATTTGTCATTGTTTACTTCTTTGTTTTTGGTTGTATCTCCCATTGGTTTGATTTTTGTTCCTATATTTGTGCATGATTTTCCTGATTGGTTGGTAAATTGGATTGATTTCAATATGCTTGTTGATTGCTGATTGACCTGAGTGCCAGACTTCTAAAAATTCTCTGGTGTTTTCGGAATTTCCGCTGTCCAAGATTTCCACATTTTTCCAATCAAATGAGTGTCCGCAGTTGTCCACGTGTATTGATATAAGTGAGGAGATATCATGGCGTTTGACTGCTAATTGATGTTCGTGTAGGCGAAGGTGAAGCGGGCGTCCGCTTCGTCCGATGTAGTGTTTTTCGCAGTTGGCACAATTTATTTTGTAGATGATGTTTGATTTGTTTTCCTTTGTTATTTCATCCTTTGGTTTGCATAGGATTGATTGTAGTGATGCTGAAAATATTCCATCCAATCATCTTTTGGAAGAATATAATAATGATGGTGATGATGATGGCAATCGCTTTAGTTTTTATATTATGCAGAATCACTGTTCCTATAAATTCCTCATTGAGGATCGGTTGACAGTAGTATATGGATAAATTAATTCATTTCTTCTTTTAAATAGATCTTATCCAGTCCTTCTTTGTTTTTAGTGGTTCTCTTTCTAGCTAAGATCAGTTCGTGATGTAAACTATGAAATTCAATTACCTCCACAAAAACCTTACAATAAGAATTTTCGATTCATGAAGTGAATTGCTAAAATACTAATCAATGGTTAATGATGAAGTGATACAATAAACCACAGTGATAATGGTTACTCACGAGATCGAATTGCTGATATAATCCCCTAATTAATCTGATATTCGACAATAAGATTGCTAAATACCCAGTAGAATAAGTTTTTTTTCTTCACTTAACAAAATAGCGCAATTAACCTGAATGACTTCCAGGGAATTTCGATTGAGATTCTGAGACGGAAGTGCAGCGCTTACCAGCAAAAGATTGAAATAAAGAGAATAAGCAAAGCAGAGAGAAATCCGAATAACACCAGGATTGGTAAAACAATGGAGTATGTAGAGAACAGATGAAGGAAAATTTGCAAATAGTGTATTCAATGTATGATTAGCATATTTTACAAATCCATTGTGTGATTTCCTTAGAAATGATAGATTGGTTTTCCCTACCAAGTCCTCGTTCACTACAAGACCACCATCGGAAACCCGGAAGTATTAGATGGCCTTTCTGTCCTCGTGAGTGAATTCTTAATAGTACGCATCCACAACTCGGCACCTGGAAATCGAATCTAGGATATTCGGTCTTGTTGACGAATGCCTAATTTCTAGATCACTGAGCTGGCACTCAGAGGATGTTACTATCTAGCTTCATCCGATTCCAGATATTGTGTGACCATCTTTAATTATCTCGGGTGAATAATTATCTCATACTAGAACGAGACACCCACCCAGTGCCCTCAGGTTTTCTTCAGTACTTTATATAAGATCAGTTCGGAATTCGAAAATTACGAAAATTCTATTATCTCCAGAAAACCTTACTATAAATTGTATGAACTTAGAAAACGTGAATTATCGGTCACTGCTTAAATAGTACTTTTCTTGTCACAAAACAGAACGGACTCCAATCTTATTATTGGATTACAAGTGTATGGATCGTTAAATCCCAAACTAAATGATCTTAACAGTCCTTTAATATACTCTATATCTTTCAATGGTTCTCTAGCGTGTTCTCATAAACATTACTACCTCAAATAATCAAGAGAGACAATATTATTGCTTTCAATTATTTTCTTTAAATAAGAAAGATTAGTTCAGTGAACAGTTCTCTCCTTTTCGGTGAATTCATTTTCAAAGCTGTACAATCGCAAATATATTTATACTTATTTTTACAGAATGACAATAATATTTATTTATTTTAACACATAGATATTGTTACAAGGAGGCACCAAATAGATATGCGCCACACAAATCTCATTCGATATGTGTGAGGGCTGTGATACTGCTCGGGTACCCAAACCGAAGCAGATGGTTTTCTAAGGGGGCCACTCCTTGAGCCTTCGACCTGAAGGTCTGATCCACAAGGCGGTGGAGCATCGTAAAGAGATCCAGTCTCATTGAGGCCGGTGACCAACAATTGGTTCATACGCTATTTGTTCCCTTAGGATACTGGAGCCCATGTGCACCATTGGTTTGAAATCCGGTTAAAGCGCTGGACATTCGCTTTTCGTCCTCTCATTTTCGTAAACAAACCCCCTCCACGAGAAGGCAGAGACTATATACGCGTGGCCATGTGAGAGCATTTCGAGAGGGAGAGCAGACTCCCCACTCTCGACCGTACCAGAGCATTTGGGGGCACATAAGGTGTAATGGCCTCAGTATTCATCCAAAGATAAATAGGGAAATTATCATTAAGAAAAGATTGTACAGTTTTGAAAATGAATTCACTCAAAAGGGGAGAACTCTTCACTGAACTAATCTTAATTAGGTGTATTTCCATTTTAACTTATTTTTTTTTCTTGTCTATTCTTTCTATTTTAGAATTCAAAATGATGATGAAATCACTACGGTCACGTGATGGTAAAAAGAAGAAATCAAAATAATCGTTTTTCTACACTTTTCTTTTTTTTTTCCACATCTAAACTAATTCCTTATTGATTCACTGGAAAACTTCACCTATTTTGTTTGTCTATAAAATGATATAAAACTTTCAAAATACTCAATTATCTACATATAAATATATGTATATATACATATATATATATATATTGATATAATGGTTACAGTAACATTTAATTGACAACAACGGATCCCATACATATATATGTATCTTGTCGTTATCGGTATAGTAATTTAAGAAGAATTACATTTTCTCAAAAGTCTATACACACAGTACCATATTTTTCACGTATTTTTATAATGTATGTATGTATGAATGAATAAATCAATATTCTTATTCTATTGTAAAGACCTGGAGAAATGTCTGCTTCCATCACTTACTAATACACATACGCACACACACACACACACACGAAGTATTTCGACCATATGTCTGTATGTTACTATGGCAGCGTGCCTACATTCTTTAGTCTTTAATTATTACTTTTCCCCTTCTTACTTTTGTGCACTGAAAGTATCTGTTATTTGATTTAATGATTCTTTCATCTGTTCTTTTGTTTTCTCTTTGATTTTTCTTTATTTCGTAATTGTTTCTATCTGCCTATCTGTTTATCATTTATTTGATATGGACCATAATAACTGGTCAATTTCACCTTGTTTACAAGTGAATATTTGTTGTGGGATTTCATTTCTCTCATTAAACAGTGAAGTTATGTTTGTGTTTCGTTTCCTTTGTATTTCATGAATAAACAAGAATTTATTTCTATTATTCTATCTCAACTTTAAGCATACAGATCAATTCGAAAAGACACAAGAGTGTTTCTTGTCAGTGACATCATCATCATTAACGTTAAAATTCATCTTCAATCCAGCGCTATTCAACGTGTAGATTTGCTTTACTGTATTACTGTGCTTCAATTTTTCTATACCCATGTTTGTGTGCATGTGTGTGTGTGTGCGTACGTGCGTGCGGAGGTGTATACGTATATTTGTACGTTGATGTTTAGTCGAGATCTCTTCCTCAAAAATAATCTATTCAACATTGTTTGTTTTTCAAATTATTTTTCCTATATGGGGATAAATGTGGTTTTCATTGAGACCTGTGATTATTATCATTAGTACTGTTACATAAACCAAATTTTCTTCTGGTTCATTATTTTCCCTCTCTCTCTCTCTTCCCTTTTTTTGTAATCATAACAATAAAAAAAAGGAAAAGTGTTCATCCAATAGTTGCTAATATATTCGTTCATTTGTATTACATCCTCTTCATTATATTATATCCATCATTGTTTATTCTTAAGATTCAATCATCCAATTTCAATATTTCCTCTGTTTATCTACCAGAAACATATATACACATTAATTGAAAAAGTTTTCTTTACGAAATTCTATGATGATAGCAATTGTTATTATCATTATAACTATCATTACTCATTGACTACTAATTATCGTATATCAGTAGTAGTATTAGTAGTGGTAGTAGTAATAATAATAGTACTAGTAACAGTAGTAATTAATTAGTACTAAAAAAAAATGATTTAACAACATTCCAGAAAAAATTTTCTTTTGTAATTTCAACCTTAGATTTTCACCATAGAAATTAGGGAAGTAAACTAGTTCTTCTTTCTTTTTGTTGTTGTTGCATGTTCATCCTATGTGCATGTTTACTTAGATCTATATGAATATGTTACTGTTCATCGATATCTGAAATTCTGTTTAACAAAAGAAATAGAGGCGGATAAAATGAAAGAAAAAAAAGAACATCAGGAATTGATTAGTTCATTTTGATAGAAGTTACCTATCTTAATTTCTAGAAGAAAGAACAAACTTTCAAAAAAAAAGTAGTAGTAGTGGAAATGTAGTAGTACTCTTCCTCTCCCTCCTCTCCCTCCTTCCCTACCCCCTTCCCTCTATCTCTCTCTCCGTTTATTGACTTCTCCTCATTTTCAAATAGTCCATCTTCAGATAAATTTGAGCTGAGGTTAGGAGAGACTTTCTTCTGTCTTCTATCATTATCTTACATTGTTTATGAGAGATTATCTTTAATTTTAAAAGAATTTGTACACTTCATTAATGCTCTTCTGATTTTTATCCTATAATCATATGGTTTTTCTCTTAATAATCATCTTCATAATAATTTTAACATACACAAACTGATATAGTACTTGTGTGTATTACCTCTACTACATAGAATATGAACTTCAGCTAATCCAATAAGGACCACTACATATTGTTCCTAATAAAATAACTATCTCTTTCTCCCTATTTGTGTTTCTATCTCTCTCTCTCTCTGTGTGTGTTGGTGTGTGGGTGTGAGTGCGTGTGTAGTTGCGAGATAAGTTCCCCTTCATCCCTTAATGATTATCATTATTATTATAATTATTATCATGATCATTGTTTCATCATCATCATGATTATTGAATCTGCTCAATGAATGAAGAATATTAACAAATTGATTCAAACATTATTCTTCATTCACAGAATTATCTCTTTGTAGTAATTTTAATTGTATCCATTTTGGGTTTGTCAACTTTTTATTTTCAGTTTCCTTTTTTTTTGTTAGAAAAAAACAACAACAAACAAACAAACACACAATTCAATTGATTGATTGATTGATTAATTGATTAATTTGTTTTTGTATTTTGTATTTGTTTAAATTGGTAGTTGAGATAAAAAAAATTTTTATAGTTTAACAAAAAAAAGAGAGATTTAGACCCCACCCCTGTTGTCGATAGTGTCCCCTTGAACTATTGAGTTGATTATTGATGGACATATAATATGCTACAATGTTTCATCATTTTTTTAGAAAAATAATTGCACTATTATGAATAAGTGGCGAATTTCTCCTGCTTTGTCACCGGTTAATACTGATTAGTTGGATTGGCAACTTGATTGAATCTTGATGAGTTGATAAAATGAATTTCGTATCCATTGTTGAGCATCCGTTCAATAGAAATACTACAAATGTATAGAGTAAATTTTGATTGGTTCATAATGAACGTTTGTCTATGATCCATAGAAATTGATACCGATCTCATAGTTACATTTCGACAACATCTTAGGCATCGATCATCCTCCTATAAACGTGACTACACATTGAAAATACAACTATAATTTAACGTCTTCAAATCATAAATATCAGTTTCTTGATGAGCGGTAGAATAGATGCTTATATAGCGGAATCTTGAATAGTTTTGCAATAAATAAAACACATTGAAGATGTTAGGCCTTTATCCCGCTATCTGATTAGGAACACTCATATGTTTAATTTATCACCACCTCTTATTCACGGGAAATCCATGATGTCATCAAATTTTAACGAACGTCAAGGCTTATATCTTATATATTAGTTACCATTTTATAAGAGATTGAAACCAGTCCTTCTGTATCTATATCATGACAAAGTTTTTTCTCTTCTCAAGGAAATTCACTACTTTCAATAGACTGATTCCCAAGTAGTGATTAATGCCATATTTGTTTAGTTCCTTGGTGCTACTGACCGAATTCTATCGAAAAAGTTGTTTTATGGATACTAGTCTGAGAGATTTGACATCACGTACTGTATGTTGAAATGTTAGGTGATTAGAGGTAGTCGACAAGAAACCATGCCTCATCTAGATTCCGTACATTCCGGCACTTGTCAGCAAGTACTATCTATAATCTTGGTGGAACCGGTTCTCCCAGAAGAATTAAAACCAGTGTCATCCATGACATCAACTGTAAACAAATCAGTCTTACAGTAGACCATTTATGGTCTGAATAGCTGATAAGTAATATTTCAGACTCGAAATTTGAATGAAGCGGCCTCGAATCCCACAGATCGCATCAATTTCATCAAGATCGAAAGTTCTCTATGCCAGTTAGCATGAAGTTTAGGTCAAGCAAGATTTTCAACTGACCAACTTCAGACACTTAACATCATTCAATTAATAATACACAACAGATTTACTTACTTACTTACTTACACCTTTTACTCTCAATGGAGCATAGGCCACTGACCAGCATCCTCCAACCCACTCTACCTCCGGCCTTCCTTTTTAGTTCTATCCAATTCTTGTTCATTCTTCTCATGTTTGTCTCCATTTATCGGCGTCTTGTGTCATTGGTCTTCTTCTCTTCCTTTAGCCTTGAGGATTCCACGTGAGGGCTTGCCTTGTGACGCAGTTCGGTACTTTACTCAATGTGTGTCCTATCCACTTCCAGCACTTCCTCATTTCTTAATCCACTAGAATCTAGTTTGTTCCCTCCCACAGTAGGTTGTTGCTGATAGTGTCTGGCCAACGGATCCTAAGATTTTTTTTTTCATAGACAACTGTTAATAAACACTTTTATCTTCTGGATGATGGTTTTCATAGTTCTGCAAGTTTCCAACCCATACAGCAGAACCGTGTTGACATTTGTATTGAAAATTCCGACTTTGATGTTGGCTTGAGGACAGTTGTTTTGAGTTCCAGATGTTTTTCAGTTGTAAGTATGCTGCTCTTGCTTTGCCGTTCTGGGCCTTCACATCTTCATCAGATCCACCGTGCTCATCAATGATGCTGCCCATATATATAATGGATTTTTCATCTTCTTAAGCTTTTCCGTTAAGTGTGATTTGATTGTTGTATCGGAAAATCTTGTTTTTCCCTTTATGCATGTTCAGACATACTGCTGCTGAGACTGCTGCTACACTGGTCGTCTTCTGCATTTGTTGTTGCGTGTGCGATAGAAGAGCCGGATCATCTACGAAGTCTAGATCGTCCAGCTTCATCCCAGCTGTCCACTGTATCCCGTGCTTTCACGACCCCGCCTCAGATTTTGAATTCTTCATGATCCAGTCGATCACCAGGAGAAAGAGAAAGGGTGAGAGTAAGCAACCTTGTCTGACATCGGTCTTTATTTCGAACGACTTTGTCAACTGCCCTCCATGCATGATTTCGCAGTTTAATCCATGATAGGAATTCTGTATGATATTGACTATCTTCTCAGGCACACCATAGTG